GAAAAAGGCGATTATGGTGGCGGTGATTTGATTGTGAATTTCTAATACACGCCTACAGTAGGAAGAGAAGTTTGTGACAGCTTCTACTTGGGTTTGCTGTTACAGCCAAATGCCAGCAACTAGAAAAATAGTGCCAGCAACTAGAAAAATAGACAAATTTAAAATTTGGCCAGCAACTAGAAAAATAGACAAATCTAGAATTTTTTGTAGTGCCAAATTTGGGAGAGTTTTTCATAATTTCCGGTTTTTCCCAAATATTTTTTACCCTTAACATTTTTTACGTGCCACAGTGATGATAATTTATGTTATCTAGGTGTCTTATTTGGCCTAGTAGTGAAAAAAAAAATTTAAAACGAATTGATGATTTCAATGCAAATCAATGAGATTATGAAACTGTTGTAGTCTTGCCAAGTACTTCTGCTTGAAAAACTGCTGAACTGGCAGTCACCTTTGGGAACGAAGTGAAAGTCAGGAAGACGAGTAGGTGGACCATCATGCAATACAGCATTGGTCAATGGAAATGGAAAAGCTGCCAGATGCATAGATGGAGAGCTGATCAAAAATAATCAAAATATCAAACGAAGTGGCATTTTTCACTTCTAAAAATTTTAGCCATCAAACTATTGGATGGTAAGAAAAAAAACCAGGTTCTGCAGTGTCTTTTTTTGAAAAAGCTCTTTAAGAAGGCCCCCATCCTAAGAAAATTTTAGCAACCCCGATCTATGAGCAGCAGCAGACGTTTCTTGACTACTGTAGCCGGAGAAAAAAAATGACATGTTTCAGTTTGGTGTGGCAGCTTGTTATTAGCAGTACAATTGGCTACGGATGCATTGTTGAAATGTGTTAATTGGCGGCTTGAGCACATTAATAGTCTTCTTCCATCCCGCAGACCCAGTTCATCTTCTCACATTTCTGCAATGTGTTTGCTATTTTCGGATTATCCGGGAGCCCGACTCTCTTTTTTCCGGGTTGCTAAACGAACTTACAGACGATATTCTGAGCTGCCACACAAGAGCAACATTTTCTTGCGCTCCTTATCTCCACTTCATCCTTCCCTTCCTTATTCCTCATCCGGAACATACAGCCACTGTCTTCTTTTTTAAAATTAAATATCAAGACTATCAAGACCGCCAGGGCTATCAGTGTGGGTATCTTATATTAATGATGTCAATGAGTGCTCTCAACACACCGGACGGTAAAAAGTAAATAAACAGCACAATTTAATACAACAAATGAACATTTATTATACAAACGCTTGTCTACCTCCGTCCCTTATCAAACGGAGTAACAGAACACTCAGCGCGATCTCGAGAAAGTACTGAAATCTGCCTTTTCCCTACTTACCCTGTTTTTTAGAATTTATCCAGACAACCAGTGCGGTAAATCTTTCGTACGCTTCGGAGCAGGCGAACTACAGAGATGAGTGAGAACATAGGCGGATCCGGAGTGGATTCCTAGGGAGGGGAGGGGGAGGGGTGGAGGGAAGGAAGGACGATTTTCTATCTTCCTCTTCGTCACTATACCTTCCTTCCCCTTCCCCCCGCTCTCACCAATGGACACTAAACTGAGACTGACAAGACTCCTGGAGGGTAAGAGTCTTGTCTGCCAAAGATTTTCATGGGACCGTACGTGACAGCCACGCAGGCCCGGGGCCTGAGTTTGATAAATTTTAGTCGCACATGAGCTGGCAACATTCCTTAGGAATTTCAGCTCCCCGATTTTTTTAGCTCTTGGATCCACTAATACAATGTGTGAGAAACAAAAGTAAAGTACCATGCATGGGAAGGGTGTACTCGAGACAAACCATACAAATGTATGATGCAGCTGTTGGCCTGGGCATTTACAGACGCAGACGGTCAATTATAGCCCGCCAGAAGCTGCTCCTTAGCTGGTCGAAATGACCACGTGCAAAAGGGACAAGCTGCTGTTGCTTTATTTATTACTCCCCAGGCAAGTGTTGGCAATGAGACAATTCACGCAAAAGCAAAAGCCGTTGATGGATTTGACACAAGCTTGTGCTGGCACTGGAACTGGCACAGATGCTGTTGGTGCTGCTGGCACTGGTACCGAGAGCCTCAGCAGGGGTTTCGGTGTTTCAGGGACGAGCTTAAACGGTAGAACTGGTGGCCTGAGCAGTTCCAGGGACGCTAAAGCATTCGGCGCCGGTGGCGGTGGCCTCAGCTGACTCACCGGAACCATGGCTCCTCGGGGCACTGGCGCCGCTCCATCGGATACCCTTTCGCGAAGTTCATCCAGTTGGCGACGCAGCTCACTGTTCGCATTCGTCAGATGCTTGATCCTGAACAATGACAGCTTGTTCACCAAAAATTATATATTGACTATCTATTATTCCCTCTGATCAGGACTTCAGCTCAGGAGAAGTACAATGACCCAAACTAGAGGTACTTGACTTATGACCTTGCTGACCTTCTGTTACATGCACTTCAATGTCAAACACTTGAAAATTAGTGGCCTGGGAAATTTATGGACTGATACTCTTTTGAGTGCTTGAATTCACCTTTTCTGACCTCATACTACTGTCATTTTGGTCGATATTTTCTGTTTATCATTGTTTAAAAAGTTGAATTTTTACAACTGTCGGAAATCGGATCAATAGCTAATACAGTATTAAAATCTGAGACAATGAATCAGTCTTCACATCATATTTCTGAATAATGGACATGTTGAAGAGCAGCCTGTTTTACGTTTCTTAGCTGTAAATACAGATTAAAAAGCAGTGTCTGTGTGTTGCAGCAGGAATCATCAATATAGCCTCCTAACCGCCGCGTATAAGATCCGAAATTGATAATGATGATAAAACAAAGCAGATAAGATGCAGATCAGAGTAATTTCAACCACTATGAAATTAGACGACAAAATACATTTTACTTTTAAAATATGCATATGTGTTAGACTAAATTGGCGGGTGTTTCACATTCTTCGGGTATACAGTTTCATCTTGCTAGACGAAATTTCTAGCGATAGCATTGTGTAATTTTTAAAGCTAAACAAAATGATC